CATAATAATTTTTACATTCTTGTCAGTATAATATTTAAAGTTCTTTTTATAATAAAACGTTTTTTTGACAGGCATCTTCATTTAGAATTATGTCGTCTTGCTCACGAATTAAACTTGATATTTGGAATGCAAATGACTTTCGAAATGGTGTCCTATCTTTTACATTTAACAGAATTATATTATTATTTATGCGTAACGCTAATATATGAACGTATAGAAGAAATATATTCAATATACTGGTTCAATACTGGGTTATGGATCTTTGTATTTTCATTCAAACTTCATGTTATAAATCACGTTTGTGAGAACGTTACAGTTAAGGTAAATAATTACTTAATTTATAAATATTTCATAAACATATGTTCTATACTAATTAATTTTGTATTTTTCTATATCAGGCTAACAAAACTGATAAAATAATTCATCAATTGACAAATATCTGTCAATATGCTAACATTTGGAAAGAGGTAAAATAAAAAAATTAACAAAGATAAAAATAAGGTATTAAATAAAATTAAAAAATTATTATTCATTCACAGATTCATCAATTTACTTTACAAATAATGCAGCATCCATTGAAGTTTTCTGGAATGGGTTTCTTCTTTTTTGGAAATGCGTTTCTTTGGAAGGTACATTTTATTATTATTTACTTAATTATTTTGATTTATATATTAATGTCAAAAATTAGATATCAAGAATATTTATTAATATTTTTTTTCATTATATTTTACTTACCAGTTTCTGATTCTTAACTGACTTGTTTATCTATTTTCATAAAATGTTTGTTTTCTACAAAATAAAAGAAATAAATTAATATATTTTCTTTCAGTTTTATATGACAGTTATGACATTCGTAATCATTATGATGCAGTTAAAAATACCTTAGTAATTCATATTTGTTAATAGCCTTTAAAGTAAATAACAAATGTAATATAATAATGTTAATGAAATAATAAAATGAAATTTGATAAAAATTTTATTAATACATTATTTCCTGTCAAATAGATCATATATATATTATATTTAAGCTCATCCGTGCGCATATAAGTATTACTCTGTACTTATTATTAATCTAGAAAACAATGTATAACTAATTTAAAGTATTAAAGTAAAGAATTCAAAACTATTTATTAGATTTATCTTTATAAAACTTTTAGAATCTATAATTAGATAAGATTTTTATACGTATTAAAATATAAATACTAATTTAATACAATATTTGATGTAAAATTGATTAGAAAAACTTTTATAATCTTGTGCTTGTTTTTAAAATTAATTTTTTAGTAACACATTAAATATCATTTATTCAAATTCTATTATTTAAAAAAAAATCAGTCTAACAATGATACTAACAACAAATAATTACATTTTATTCTAATTAATAAAGTTTATTTGTAATATATTAAATAATAAATTATCTTTCTATGAAAACCTATCGTAATTATAATTATGACAACAAATTCGTTTTTAAATTTTTTGTATTATATAGGCTACGGTTCACTTACAAAAGCGCTACAAAAGTTTCGAAGGGTTTGATTAACCAATCAAAACAAAGAATTTTATGAATTGACCAATCAAAAAATGCTTCGAAGCATTTGTGGATCGCACTCATAAATGAATATATGTAAGAAACAGAGCGCGTGTAGTGCAAGGCTCGTAAGGTTTGAATCCCGATCTCAACCTACAATATTTACAAGCGACGGTTCTCCTCTACAGAGATCTGGTACAGCCCAGGGTAACGCTGCCGAAAAAATCCCTCCCTCCCCCCTCAAATATTGGCCATTCGGAACCGGCGTAAAAATATAGATTCTATATATAATTTCCCATGATTTCTAATCTTGTTCTGGATTTTTAGATATTTGAGCCTCTTTATTCATTTTAGATCAATCTTTTTTTTCTGGGAAGTATAACATATCCACTTATTCGTGAATTTTAACCATGAACGTGGAACTAATTTTACCGATTCTTCATTATTATTTTCTTGAGTCAAATTGAACAATTATATGTGTTGTATCTTTTTTTAATTCAATCATGTTGAAATTAATAAAATAAAAATATATGTTACATAAATAAAGCTGACGGCACACGATGCTTTTTTGACTGTTAGATTTCTTACTGGATTTGCATGCTTGCTATCTTGATGACAGCGATGCTGGCTGTCTTGCTAGTTGCTAACTTCACACGGTGTAAGTTTTCATGCTGGCTGAGTAACTAAAATTTTATAGAAGGCATTTGACATACTTATTTATTTATTTATTTTTTTTCTTTTGTTATATTTATTTTCATTTTGAGAAGTTGTAACAAACAGAGGAATAATAGAATATCTGATATTCGAAGGAAATATTTTGATTAGATGATCTAAAGCTGCGTTTTGATTAGTTTTCAAAGTAAATCAACACAGGACCACGCAAGATACAATTTCCTTATTAATATTAAATATTAATAAGGATATTAATATCAAATATTAATAAGGATATTAATAAGGATTAAATATTAATAAGGAAATATTAATAAGGAAGGTATTTATCATTATTACTAAT